TCGTTTCCTGTTCCCGTTTTTGCGCTGGCGGTGGGATTCGATTGAAATCTGCCAATTTCTTTCCAAATGCCTTCCCCCGTTTTTTTGTGGCCGGTCTGCTTTTCCACCCGCCTGCCAGTGCGGTCCAACTCTTAGAGGCTACTAGGTTGTAATTTGATTATCTGGCACCCTTGTGACTGAGAGGTCTAAGAGTCATCAATGATTTTAGATACTACGGATAATATGAGAATTTGCGGTTGGGATGTTGGACCCGCTTTCCAACAGGTGCAGCTCCCCACCAATAGATTTGGAGCCATCAAACAGTGCAGACTCCAACCCACCAGGGGCAAGGTCCCACTTGCACGGATTACGAGATTCTGACCGTTGATCTGTGCTATCTACGGTCAATATCTCTTATTAATTCGTGCAAGTGGGACCTAGCCCCAGGCGCTCTTACAGCCTGACGGGTAGTTGTCTGTCACGGATGTTATCCAAAAAAAAAAAAAAAAAAACATCAGTCGAAATGTACCCTCTTAAACCCCTTTGGTCACTGTTTATACCCCCAAACCCCCCCTGGATGACCCATCACCAAAATCGACATTAAGACCGGATTCCGACTGCTTAAGCCAAGGGCAGTCCTGGCCTGAAGTCTTTTTAAAGTTTTTATTCTTTTCTGGGATCCTTCCCTCTTTTTTGACCTGTCTGATTTTGCTGGGCGATTTCTCCTCTGCCCAACTGGCCCGGGCGTGCTAGGTCGGGCGATGGCCCAGCATAGATTCAAATGGCGTTGTCTTTCCACTGTCATAACCACTTAAGTGATCCAGCTGCTTGCATTCAGACGGAGTGTTCTCTCAATGGTAATCAAACGGAATGATTTGTCCATTAAAATAGAACTATTTGTCCATTCAGTGATCTATCCATTCAAAGGGAGTGATCTCTCCCTACAAATGGATGATCTTTCCACTGTAGCAATGCCATATGTGTATTGATCAACCTGGATGCATTCACATTTCCAAACGGGAAGCCCTCTCCTTTAGCACCTTGCAACACGAAACAAACCGGGTATGGCTGCAGTTTATTTTTTTTATTTTTTTTCGCCTGGTGCCACCAGCCATTTTGGCTCTGGTACGTTGAGCCACAAAGGACACAACGCATTAACGGCCGCTTCGTTACAAAATGGCTGGGAAAGGTAGTTGAAAAGTACCCCGGTTCAGTCCCAAGTCCCAGTCGCTAGTCTTTGAAAATCGTTTTTTTTTTTTTTTCCCCGCTTGTAAACCCTTACGGTTCTTTTGTTTTTTTTTCGTCGATTTTTTTTCAGCATTTGCTTCAATCAAGGCCTTCGTTGTGATCAGCTATTCTGTCATCGAGAAGATCAGTAGCGTTGAAGCTTTTCATAGGCTTCCTGCCAGAAAGCTTGAAAAACAATAGAAGTTCTCTTTTTTCTTTTTTTTTTCTTTTTTTCGCTTTTCTGGTTGTAACATGTAAGTCGTTTTGAGCTCTATCTTTTTCCTTTGGTTTTTCCAAGTCCCACTGTCGGCAAGATCTTGCTTGCCATCATCCATTGTCTCTTTGAAAAGGGCTACAGATTTGAATCTTTTTTGTAGGCTATCCCCCCCCTCCTAATCTAGGTATCACTCTGAGGATTGCTGTATACCTTGGGGGGAAAGCACACAATTCTGTCGTCTGTGTGTTTAGAATGGGTCGATTATGATACAATGACAGCGTGAAGCACTGACAGGGCAATGTTGCTGATACTCAATGAAGTGAATGAAGTGTTTGAGGGCGTACTCACTCTATGAACTTTCAGGATGTACCTGACCAGAGAAATGGTTAGATTCTTTTGAGAAAGTCCTAATGTGAGTACACCCTAAGCTGCCAGGGACGGGGGCTGTATTAGGGCAGCACGCACCAATCTATGGACAATGGTGCACACAGCACTTGGGATTGAAATGATAACAATACATATGCCAGATTGTCAAGCAAGTTCTGGCCCATCTTTTTCTGGTTTTCAGGTTTTCCCTTTCCCGTTTTGAGATAGGAGCTATGAAAAGAGAAAAGAGAAGATAGCTCTTCACAGTGTTCGATGATAGGCTTTCAGCACTTTTGACATTTTGTGCCCACCAAATACGTCTTGGAAATAATGCACATAAATATTGTTTAACTAACACTAACCGGGAGTTCTTGTTCTCTCTCTCTCTCTCTCTCTCTCTCTCTCTCTCTCTCTCTCTCTCTCTCTCTCTCTCTCTCTCTCTCT